CTAGTTGTATAAAATCAGATAAATTATCAACATTCCTGGGTCTCAGTTCTTTCATCTCTAAAATGGCAAAAATATTAATCTTTACCTAAGAAAGCAGATCAAAGGAAACTGCTATAGACGGAATGTCTGTGCTCTCAAAAATCTGTTATGTTGAAATCCCAATCCCCAATGTGATGACATATGAAGACATGGCCTTTTGGAGGTAATTAGGTCACAAAGTTGGAGCCCTCAGGATGGGATTAGTGCCCTGAGGGGAAGAGACAGAGGAGAGCTTGCTTCCTCTCCCTCTTAGCCACGTGAGGATACAGCCAGAAGGCTGCTGTCTACAAGCCAGGAGACGAACTCTCCGCAGACACAACTCTACAGGCACACAGATCTCAGACTATGAGAAATCTGTGTTTGCTGTTCATGCAGTCTATGGTATTTTTGTTATAGCAGCCTGAACTAAGACAGAAACAGAGTATGGAAAGCTCTTAGCATGGTGACTTTATACAGGAAGTTCCTCAATAAATAATAGCCATTGGTATTGATTCTAAATCCATGCCCTTTCAGGTTGTCAATTTCAGTGAGAAAGAATACACAAGTTTAGAGAAAAGGTATCCACCTTGGATTCACAGGAGTTATTCTAGGAGGGTCTTCAGGGTGATGAAGCAAAGAAATAAGGATTTTAAAACACTCTGGATGTGCGCCGGATTTGGTAGATTTGGAGTTAGGGTGACCAACCATCCTGGTTTGTTTGGGGCTGAGGAGATACCTGGGACACTAAAACTGGTACAATTTACTCTTTCAGTTTTCAGAGTGGAGGGGATATTTACTTTCAGGAGTGGGCAGTACTGGAAGCAAGAGAGGTCATCTCCCCTCCCCTTTTCCTCCTACTAGGGGTGACCCACCTGATGGTAACACTGGGAAATGGTCTGAGTACGCACAGCGCTGGCAGCCTGCCTACCCCCTACCCAAGCATGCACTCCTGAGTCCCCCATCTGGAAGCTTGCTGGGCAGGCACTGAATTTGTCTGGGGAGACCCACTGTTCAGCAAGCAAACTAGTGAGTGGAAAAGTTTAGTTCGAGGGGAAAAAAAGGAGTAGGAAGCTTCATTTGGACACAGGTCCAAACTCTGTTCTGCAAACAGCATTACCAACAATAAAGCGGATACTGTGACTTCTACCTGACATCTGTGTCTATTTCTAAATTGGTTCAGAACTCACAGGGGGAGAGGGGTATAATTAATTATCAGTCATGTGATTAATTATCACCTTCATAAGCCCCAACAGATGGATGCCTATTTTATTTCATTGGCAGAAAAACCCATTGCAAGCTGGCAAGAAAAAGGTATTTAATAGAATCAAATAGGGTTAGAGGTGGGGGTAACCTTAGAGATGATCTGGTCCACTCTTTGTTTTTACAGATAAAAAGACATACAAATGAAATGGTCAAGTGACATAATCTATGTGAAATTCTGTGAAAAAGCCATCAAATGAACATTATTAGTATGATTAGTAGTTTGGAGAGTAGAGAGTGTAACCAGAATTAAAAACAGGTTATAGATTAAGCAACTTCAGAAGGAGAAAAGTTCTCCCAAATAGAAGTATTACCTCCAGGAAACCTCCTTAAACCAGGGAGAAGCAACCAACAGAGAGCTGAATTTTTTTTAACTGGCAAGAAGCCTGTAAGACTCAGGTCGGTGGGGGAGGGTAGAGCTCAGTGGTAGAGCGCATGCTTAGAATGCACGAGGTCCTGGGTTCAATCCCCAGTACCTCTGTTAAAATAAAAAACAAATAAATAAATTAAATAAACCTAATTACCTCCCCTCCCACCAGAACAAACAAAAAAATAAAAAAGACTAAGGTCAGTAAGACTGCTTATCCACAATCTGGAATACCAGGTGAGGTGTCGAAACAAACAAGTTTCCCCCTCTAGCCTCACCTTGCCCTCCAACAATAACATAACTTGTCCTCCTCATCAGGAATGTTAATTTCCGAACCGTTAACCAGAAACGCCCCACTGGCAAAGCAAGGGTGCTGGCCCCTCTAGATACATGAGAGCCTTTGGTCGAACAGGACCATTTCTGGTCTTACCTTTGTCTCTTATTGTCACCTTCACCCACCAGAGAACTTATGTTTGGCCTTTTGAAAACATCCAGTTTTGGGAAAGATGGAGAAAGCCCCTTTCACCTTGACTCTCCCACTGAATGAAACCTGGACAGAATACATGGAACAGTTTTGTGGAGACTTTGAAAAGTAAACAGTAGCAGGCAGACTGGGGAAGATGATCAGAATTTGAAATACTACTGATCATATCCCCTTGCCCTCACCCATGGCCTGAACCCAACACGCCAGAAATGGACACCAGGGAACAGGTGAGAGAGCTCCTGGAGACACCCTCCAGTCCGGCCCCAGCTTCAGGAGCGGGAACTCCTGATGCTCAAGGAGAATGTGGAAATCCTGTCTTTCTCTTCCTCTTCTTTGTTCTTCTCCTCTCTTCTCCCTTCTCCTCTTCTTCTTCCCCTCCTTTTTGTCTCTCTCTGAATGGCTGATAACTAGGCTCAGTCAAGGAAGTGCGTGGCAGAGTGAGCTTTCTGGCCAGTCTAAAAAGTGGTCCCAGAAAGTACCAGGGAGATCATCGAGAAGATGGAACTGGGCCAAGAAACCCCATTAGTGTTTTTTAAAAATGAATTCCTGGGCTCACCTTCAAACTGAACTTACATGGATCCAATCTTAATTAGCATATCAAAACTCAGAACTCCTCCTAGGTGCCAGACCCACCACCAGGTGACATGCACATGGGACAGATGCACACAGCACTGCTAAGGCTTTGAAAAGTGAACTGACACGGGAACCAGCGCCCCCAGAAGATCAACTAGTAGCATGGAACTCATAGCTGAACCTAACCAGGCTGAACGAATATGAAAACAAGAACACCAACATTCACCATAGGCTTTAAGCAAAAGACCCAAAGTTTCAGAACGTGATAATTCAAAATGTACAGAAAACAATCCAAAATTCCTTGGCACGTGAAGAATCAGGAAAATATCAATTCTCTGCGAAGGGATGATCAACTGAAGCGAACACAGCAGTGACACAGATGTCAGAATTATCTGACAAAAACTTTTAAGTAAGCTATTATAAAAAAGCTCCAACCAGCAATCATGAACGCTAATGAAATCAAGGGGAAAATAGAGTTTCCATCAATAAATACAGGCTATCAAGAAAAGCCACATGGAAATTTTGGAACTGAAAAATATAATCACCAAAATAAAAAATCTCTCACGGGCTCAAGAGCAGGATCGACAGGACAGCAGAAAGAAGCCATGAGCAAATCAGCTGCGGGCTGGGGGTCTATTTATCATGACTCTTTCAGGCATCTTCTCTCTACTGCAACTAACTACTGCGGCATAACAAACCCCATCAAAATTTTGTGGCTTACCCTAGAACCGATGTAATATCCCCACGTCTGTGGGAGGGTTGGGCAGTTTCTGTGTTCGTCTTGCCTGGACTGCTCATTTCTGCATTCAGCTGGAGGGGTGGGCGGACTGGGAGGTCCAGACTTGTCGGTCTGGCGGTTGGCATTAGCTGTTGACTGGAGGGCCTCACCCAGCTCCATGTGGCCTCTCAACCCCCAGGGGGCTATGGGCTTCCTCCCCGTCTGGTGGGCTCAGGGTTCCACAAGGATGAGCCTAGAAGACATGAGGCTCATGGAGGCCTATGCTCTGAAACTCACACAACAGCATATCTGTCGTTTTCTATCTATCACAGTCTAACAACAAGGATCGTGCAGAGATAAGGGATATAAAATTAAACTCTCTCTTGATGAAAGGAGCAGCTACACAACTCTGCCAACGGGTGTGGACCCAGGGATGGAGATCCTTCTTTCAATGATCCACCACATCTTTCCTGGGGAATCAATGCTGTAAATCTCAAAGGCCATAGATCTACAATTACTACAGCAGTGGAACAGACTGCGAGGCTCAGAGAATCTAGTGTTTTGCCTAAGATCAGACAGCTTGTTAGGGGGAAAGATGAAACTAGACCCCATGACTGCTGATTCACAGACCAGTCGTCTTGTCTCTGACGTGAGCTGTACAGTATTTTGAACACTCTGGCTGTTTAACAGGTAGGAAAGTAATGGACAGCACTTGTACAGTGGGCTGGCAATCGTTCATCATTTAGATTCATTTTGAGAAGGAAATAAATGCAGGCACCTGTGGAGTCTATGAAAAAAATGAAGTAAAGTGACACAGTAAGAGCTATTCATTATGCAGCAATAAAGCTCCTAACCTGTTCTAGGTACCAGCACATAGTGCACTCGGTCTCTTGAGTTCCTGGCACTCAAAGCTTAATTTCTTTATTGAGGTAAAATTCATGTAACATAAAATTAACCATTAACCATCTTAAAGTGCACAATACAGTGATATTTGGTACATTCACGATGTTGGGCAACCATTACCTCTATCAAGTTTCAAGACATTTTCATCACCCCCAAAGGCAAGCCTGTATCCATTAAGCAGCCACTCCCCATATACCCACTCCCCCAGCCCCTGGGAACCACTAGTCTGCCTTCTCTCTACAGATTTCTATCCTGGATGTTTCATATGAATGGAATCATATGAGCTTTTACAACTGCCTTCTTTCATTGAGCACGTCTTCATAGTTGATCCACGTTGAAGCAGGTATCAGCATTACATTTCTTTTTATGAATAACAGAAATATAAATAATATTCATAATATTCCATTGTATAGATAGGCCACAATTTGTTTATCTATTCTTTAGTGGATGGGCATTTGGATGGCTTCCACTTTTTGGCGACTGTGACAAGTGCTGCTATGAACACTCATGTAAAAATAGTTGTTTGACTACCTGCCTTTAATTATTTTGGGGTATACAGTTAGAAGCGGAACTTCTGGGTCATATGGTAATTCTATCAAAACATAACTTTGATTCGAGTTTTTGACAAGGTTCTTAAAATGGTTTGTTTGAAATTAAGAACCTGCTACCGGCATTACCTTGTCTCTAAAGTCAATGTGGTTCTGGAGGATGGCTCTGTGGTAAGTGGCTGTTCTCACAAAATCTTGCATCATGTTCTGCTGCTGGGAAAGGCAGCCATAAAACTGCAAGGGAAAGAGAAGGAGAGGGAGAGTAAACAAGCCACGAGGCAGTCCCTCCAAGAGCATCTGGCTCTTACAGCCCCCCGTGGCCAAGGCAGGCTTGGTCTAACACACTGGGGAGCTGAGGCTCTGAGCAACGGGGGACCTCTCCACACTGGCCTTGTCTGTAAGGCCCAGAGCTCTAAGCAGATTCCAGACTTTCGACTGTTGTTCCATACAATAGATACAGGCCTAGATCTTATCTAGGTTGGTGCCCAGGGGCCCTTCCCAAAGCAGAGGCTGAGAGAGCACAGATCAAGAATAACAGAGATGAGAGAGAGAAGGCCAGGGCCAAAAGAGAGGACCCTGATGAGTCCCATCAGCCCGGAGAGAAAGATACAGGTCTTGGGTATAAATCATAGGTGAGGGTGGGTGGGGCAGAAGGCAGTGACAGTGGTAATCCTGGCAAGGAATGCCAGCTGGGTGACGTGCTGCTTGTAAATCCACGAGCACGGACAGTCAGCAAGAAAGACAATCACTGTAACTGCTAGCATTTGGGAGCATTTTCTTTGGGCCAGGCACCGCGCTAAGTGTTTCACGCATATTCTCTACTCAAATCACATCACCTCAACAATTTGATGAATCATGTTCCTCGTCTGAGCAAACTGAGGCTCAGAAAGACACAGCAAGTTGCCCAAGTCCTGATAACTCGATGAGTGACAGAGCAAAGATTCCAGTCCAGGTGACGCTGCTGCGGCTGGTCAGAGGCTCACACTCTGAAAAACCACCGCACTCTCTTTTCCACCCCTCCCACGTATATTCACGGGTGTGTGCCACCTTGAAACAGCTCGATTCCACCTAGGGCAACGTCTCTGACCTGGAAGTATTGGGCCGCAGATGCCTCTTCTGTCCGCTGGCTGAACACCGACTCTTCCTTGTTCTCGTTCCGGCATCTTTTCAAGGTATTTGCAAACGAGCTGAATTCTGCCAGGAGGAAAAAAGCAGAGCCGTTTCTACACGTAGGAAACCAGAGAACTCACCACTGCTCTCTTCACAAAATTCCAGCGAGAAAATATTAAGAGATTAAAATGGCGCATTCGCCCCGGAACACAAGCATGAGAAGGAATGGCAAGGTGGAAATGGGGACTCCTCTGCATGTGACACCTTATTTACACTTGTCAGACACGTGCACTCAGAAATATCAAGTGCGAGAGCAGAATGGAACAGAGTCGGGGCTCATCGGACTCTCCTGGCGCTGTGCTAACAAAGCTCACAGGCTGGTTCTTGGCATGTGCTCTGGGGAAGGTGACTGCAGACAATAAGGGAAATAACATACATGCGAATACAAAATACACATGCACGTAAGTGAGTATATATATAAAATCTCATTCTATTATCACAGTGATGGGGTTTGTTTTTTCACACTCAGTCTTTCTTAGGTGTATAGAGAAAAGACAGAATAATTGGGGATATGTGAATACAAGGGAATGCTTTCTATTATTTGAAGGGAAAAAATACAGAATTGAAAGCTCAAAAAAATCCCAGCAGTGATAATACTAACAAATAACACAGTATGCACAGTTGTTAAAATCTGGGACTTCTGCCTTAGAAATGTCTCTCAAATCCAGCCCAGTGGTCCTCACTGCCTGTGGTCTCGCCCCTCTCCGCCGCTGTTGCTATGCCCAGGTCTCCTCCTTAAAGTCCATGCTGGGTCCCTAACACCCACCCAACCTCAGTTCACCTCGAGCTCCAGTCCCTCACGTGCTGTCCGCCCCTGTGTGCTCCCCTCCCCGCCCTCTCTTCCTGCACACCCAAGACCTGCACGATGCCCTTACGCTCCCACCAGGCTGAAGCACTTACAAATCCCCAGGTCAACCTGGTCCTGGCCTGGCTTCTTGACTTCGAAAGCTCTGTCTCTTCTGTTTAGATTACCTTCTGACATCAAACTCCTATTCATCCTCAAAGATTCAGTTCAAACGAGAACTTCCTCACTGCTGTGCTCTGGAACGCTCACAGGCGGAATTAACTGCCGTAATCCACTGGGCCACAACACTGGGCTTACACACCAGAATCACCTAGGAAGAATTTTTTTTAATGTATATGCTGGACCTTCATCCTATACTGGGTAATTCAATGTTCTGGTAATGAGAATAAGGCATCTCTGGTTTTTTCAAAAGCCTCCAGTGAGTTTTCATGTGGAACCAGGGACAAGAACCTTTGCTCTAATCTCACGCTCCCAGTTCATCATCATATTTCATATTTTACTGAATTTATAAACTTTTTAAAAAATGTCAAGCTTCATCTATATTAAAGAGTTTTAGGGCATGGTTTAGGGATTCAAGGCTCATTTATCCCTAGTCTTCAGAACATAGTGCTAACATAGCAGCCAACCAATAATGGGTCGAAAATGTGAATTCAACAAATATGGGGAAATGACAAATGAACCTGGTGAAACTTTTTCAATTCACCTGGCAATAGGTGAATGGATTAAGGAGATATGATACATATATTTCTATTCAATGCAGTATCATTCAGTCCTGAGAAAGAAGGAAATCCTGCCATTTGCAACAACACAGATGAACTCTGATGGCATCACGCTAAGTGAAATAAGCCAGACAGAGGAAGACAAATACTAGATGACATCACTTATATTTGGAACATTTTTTTAGAAGTCAAATTTATAGAAACAGAGAGTAGAAAAGTGGTTGCCAGGAGCTAAAGGGTGGGGGAAATAGCGAGAGGTTAGTGAAGAGGTAAAAACATTTTCAACTATAAAATGAGTAAGGTCTGAGGGTCTAATGTGTAACACTGTGACTATAGTTATTAACACTGTATTGTATAACCGAAATTTGCTAAGAGAAAACTCAAATGTTCTCAGCAAAAAATTAATAACAAAGTAAAATAAAACAAAATAAAATTCTCCAACATACTGAGAAACAAAGAAGATACTGGATAATATTTACCCAGCTCTAGTCTCCGGGCACCTCTCCAGTTCCCTAGAGTTCTCAGAGTTTGCCAGCAGTGGTTTGTGACACCCATCTGTGAGTTCTTTGAGTCCTGGGCATCTCAGTCGTTTGGGCTTTGCAAAGTCAATGGTAAATTCACTGTCCAATAGTCTTTTGAATACTCTTTACAGTTTCAAGTCTCCATCCTTTGGGGAAAATTTGAACTTTAATACAGCCAAAAGTAACAGCTGCCTAATTTAGTGAATAGGATGTATGGCAAGTTACAAAGTATCATTTTGGGTTTAAAAGCAAGATTTTGATTATAAAGTAACAAGGCTAGTCTGCTTGTGTACCTCACCAGCTGTCTTCAATAGAAAACGTAAAAGAGAAGCTCCAACGCAGTTTTGTTTTACACCAGCATTCATGCAATACATAAACAGCCTTCCAAAATTGATACTAATTTGGATAGATCAACTCTGTATTTGCTATTAAAAAAATCTTATTACACTATAGACACTATAATCACAAGTCTATAATCCTGATGCAGAGACCATATTTGACAAAGCAAAAATCAAGGTCTCTAATTTGTCAAGTCTGAGATGAATTTATAGGATTTGGGAAATCAGGAGTCAGACCTTGGTAAGTCCAGGAATCTGCATCAATTAACTTCTGTCTATTGTGAATACTCTCACAATGGCTACCAAAAGAATGTTCTCTTCACAAGTCACCTTTACCTTTATCTTAACAGTTAAATAAATACGGGTAAACAAAGGAAATGTCTGTGTTTTCATATGACGTATAAAGATACAAGAAAACCCACCACACTTTAAAAAAGGAAAAGAAATTTAATTCAAGAGAGCCCAGAGGCAGCTCTGCAGCAGTACCTCGAGCTTGATTTTTTTAAAAAAAAAACCACACCATGATTATCACATTGTCAGTTGCAGATCTGGTGGTATAATTTTGGGACATGTGGCCAGAACAGCTGAGGCAGTCAGGCAGGTATTACCCTTTCCTGGCACAGAAAGGTGCTAGCATCTTGGTAAATAAATTCTGTATGGCAAGCATCACAGACAGTATCACTTGTAAACAGCAGCTATTTAAGAGAAGCAAGCAAACAAAAACAGATCCCTTCAATCTGGTCTTTTTAGGAGTAACAGAACAAAAAGGAAATGGTGTGTCTGAGTAGTCTTTACTGATCCATGACTATAACAACACGCTAAAATGGAAAGTAATGGTTTCTTTAAAAAGAACCTAAATCAAGCCTGAGAATCAAAAGAAAATAATTAGAATCATGGCCGAGGCATGGAACTGCCATGTCCTTGGTTAACAGCTATAGGCCAGAGAAAATTACATCTGTGTATTGTGGTGAAAAATGACAAAACATGATGGTTTACAGCCAGAGTGGTTACAATGCCCATTCCACCAGGCCATCCTCTTTGGAAATAGTATGGATAAATGTGTCCTCTGAAAGGAGTTCTCATTTTACTCATAATCCATGCTGTGTCCAAGGGACCTGGCTTTTACTAGTAACTGAGGGTGTTTCCCCATCTTTCTCCACTCTGCCCTCAGACTTTTGGGAAATATCCCCCAGGGACCTCCTTATTCCAGAGCAGTGGTTCTGACCCAGATCCTCCCACCTTTTCTGCCCTAAGCAGTTAAGGGAGACAGTATGCAAATGTGAGCATCCATTTAGATTTTAGTATGTTCTCAACAGTTGGCCTTTCTTCACTCTCCCCTGGGAGCCATCCTGGCTCTACAGAATTAATGGCATCTTTCAAACAAATGGTACCTGCAGATCAAAAGGCTTTGCTATCCAAAAAAATGTACTCCTTGCCAAAATGCTTTTCAAAGGCAAAATTACCTGCAGGATTTAAAGATCCCTTCACTCCGCTTACCAAAAGTCTCTCCCTCTAGTTTGGAGAACAGAGGAAGAGAAGCAGATGGATTACTATTATTGCATCTTATTTTGGATTCACCAATAAGCATTGCCATAGTCTGAATGTTTGTCCCCCCAGAATCCTATTTTGAAACCTAATCCCCAGTGTCATGGCAGTTAGAGGGTAGAGCCTTTGGGAAGTGATTAGATGTAGATTCTCTGAGTGACCCCAATAGATACCATTGTTATAAGACACTATAGGTTTCTTTGCATACATGAGAAAACCAGAAGAACAGACAGCTTCACCAAACTTCAAGCTAAATTCCTCAAGCTAGAGCTTTTTTGTCCTCTTTAAAATAAATTTGTTAGCATTCTTTGAAAGCAATTGCCAATCAACCTCTCTTAAAATAAAGACACAAGCTCTAAGAAATCAAATGTATTATTCGGTTTTGGTCTCCTCTCAAAGCCTTACAATTGGCAACCAAACCTATAATTCATCATCTATGTAACACTTAACTAAAATTATTTTTGTACAACCAAAACATTGGTACAAAGCACTGGGAAGGGCTATTTGGGAGTATTTTGTACATCTGTCGTAACTCTAAACATTAAGAATCTCACGTAAAAATAATTGGATGACAACTCTCATCAAATTTCATAGGCAATCCAAATGCATTTCTTAAAAACCAATTAAACACTTTCTGAGATGACCAGCAGTGACCTGAACATTAGTAAAATAGTGAGCGTCACCATTTGTTTTCACATTTGTAAGGAGAGTTTATTTGTCCAAATATTGAGCCAGTTCACTAATCCCTGTGGGATCCTCGTGCACTTGCCCTGACTCTCCACCCATCGGCAAGGAAAGACCAAGGGCTGAGAACTGTGTGGTCTCCAATAAGCGGATCGATCAGAGGTCAGTCTTGGAGGGAAGGGTAAGTGATTGAGCCAAAGCAGAAACAAGATTCTAAGGAAAGGGTATCAGAGAAAACCCTTTCATTGGCAAGAGATGGAAACTCAAATCAGTTTAATTGAAATAGGAATTTTATGGCTCACAAAACTGAAAAATCCAGGATTAAAATTCCATTTTCAAGTATGGTTGTGTCCAGGAGCTCGAATGATTTTAAGACCCTCTCTCACTCGCTCCGTCTGTATTTCTGTTTTAG